TATATATATATATATATATATATATATATATATATATATATATATATATATATATATGTATATATTACCCATCTGTCTCTATCGGATGTTAAATCTGAGGATATGACATATTCATTTCATCAATTTATTTCTCTTTTTTCTTTTCCATTGTCCAAAAAAAAAAATTTACTACCAATATTCTCTATCATTTAAATTTTCAACAAAGTGAAAATTAACTTTTAATTTATTATCTTTAGAAAGAAAAAGAGAGAATGAAATATACATAATAGATGTGAAAACAAGAACGAAACAAGCAGACAATAATTTCACATAGCCCATTTAAAAAAAGAAAAAATGTCCGTAATTTTCAGTAATATCGATTTGCATATATATATATCAATCAATCATATAGACGAAAATATAAACAAACATATACTAGTCTGCTTGCTACCTATCCTTATTACTTACCTACTGCTACTATTATTACTATGGATGATAGTGATGGTAATAGTTCAAACATCACAATACAATTGTCAACATCAACAATGAAGTAAGTATAATTGGTCCTCCTCCTCCTTCTTCCTCCTCCTCCTCCATTCATAAAGATACATTAGGAAAACCATTACGATGACCTAAAAATTTTCATTCACTTCAAATATCCACAAATAGGTAATACACATCGTACATTCGGAAAATTTCAAATTCATACTAATTTTAGCGTTATAAAAAAAAAATTCTTTTTCAATCTTTTTTCTTCATTTTCTACACCTTACTCAAGTTAAATCAATTAAAAATTTTCAACAAATTTGTCGATAATGTTTGGATGAGAAAATTACCGCCAAATTCAGAGATAATCACTTCCATTTCATCTCTTCCAATTCAGTATTCTATTTATTATTCATACAATTTACAATAGAAATGATTACTCTACAATAATTATATAGAAAATATATTCCCTTCATGTTTGTTTCTCTTTTCTTATATACTTTATTTAAAGTATAACTAAAGAAAAAGTGATTAAATAAGAAATAAGTAAAAGTGAAGAGAGAGAAGTATCAGTAATTTGTTATTGATTGAAATCTCTCTTCTGGATAAATCGAAATATAAACATATCTCTTTACAGATATGTTTACACATTGCTCATCTCTTCCTACCAAAATAACAATTCTATTTCATATCATTGAGTAATCAGATGATGTAAGTTAAATATGAATAAATGAATTTGTACCAATGATTTAAAAGAAACTGGATAAATTAAGTCTGATATTAAGAGCTGATAAGATGATAAATTATGAAATTAATCCATCCGTGTATTTTCATCTTCCAGGAATTTAAAATCGATGCTAAGACTTATCAATCTTATCAAACAAAACTGCTAATATTAGTGACACATACAAAACATAAAATATGAAATGTCTGAGAATTTGAAGCATGTCATAATTATGGGTTACGTGGATTAGCGATGTGATATATATATATATATATATATATATATATATATATATATATATATATATATATACTACG